ACACCTTTTTTAGATTATTGTTCCTGCACCTTTCTCTGAAAGTTTTTTTTTTCCCTTTATTCAAACTAGAAGCCAAGGTAACATTTGCAGTTTTGCCTCTCCAACTTCCAAGCTCACACATTCAACAATCTGAACTTCCTATTCCACTTGATTTCACCAAACACTTCCCACAGTTTCCAAGCATGCCACTGTAAAGCTAAGCATCTCACAGAGTTCCCCTACTTACCTTCCTACTGAATTTAAGCCAAACCCCACTGACACAGTATCACCTCTTATTGGTTCGAGGAATCAGCTGGCAATACTATCTACCCCCTGGGTTCAAGTCTTGCCAGTTGCTAAGATCATTCATCTAACCAGGTAGCCTTAAACCACTACCTTACTTGACTCTGCCATTCATATAGTCATTCGTTTCCTTCCTGCCTTATTGTCCTACACCATGCATTCTTTTCTCTTTCTACCACTGTAATGCCCATTCTGCTAGCCCCTAGCCATGGTGCATCTTCAGTGTATACACCCACAGGCATATGGCACAAACACCACAACCAGGACAATTACCTTCACTAGAAAGGCCTTTTTTAGGTCCCTTCTTTCTCCAATTTTGTCCACTCCATATTTAAGCAATTTCAGTATTTCAATTTAATCTCATTCCACATCTGCAGTCCCAGCTCCTCCAATTCTCCAGCCCTCTTTCCTCCTTGCAAAAGACCCCTTGAACAACTTTTATTTCTGACGTTTGACAAGTGCAGAAGTTCCTTTCCTGTGGTCGTCCTCTAATTCTTTTGCTTGTCCAGTGGATCCCACCCCACATCATACACTCTCTCTTGTACCTTTTGCCTTCCACAGTCCCGTCGTTCACCCAGCCAAAATCTCTTCCAGTCTCTCACCTCTTAAACATTCCCCCCCATCTCTCCACTTGCTTTTCTACCTGTTGCTTCTCCTTTCTCTTTCAACTGACTGTTTACTTTTCAGTTTATTATTTACAATAAATCACTGACTGTTCACCTCTTCCAATGCCATTCATACTCCACCAACATATTGCTCCTGGCAACAGAACTGCAGGTGTTTAGCAGCTGAAACACTTTTACAGCCACCACTTTACTGTTCTTATCTGCTATGGCTATGGTACTGGTATATTAGCTCGTCTCTGTTTCATTTCACGGGTACCTGGCCGTCAGTTCAAGATCAAAAAAACCCAGAGAACTGTAAACTTTTAACCTCTCTTTACCGCTTTGTTGTCTTTTCTTCATGGACAATAGCACCGTCCTGCTCAACCCACAGGGTACCAGCCTCCTTACAGGTTTGTCTTTGCATCCTCAGAGGTAAGCTGAATCTCATTTTTCAGGTTCTTTCTGTGTCATAGTTTTAAAATACAACCTTCCCATTCGAGCCACATGATTAAAATTCCTTGCTGTGCTCTCAAACCTTCTATTCCAGTTACCGATATGCTTTTCTCTCTAGCCTGATGTAATGCCACTCAAAACGAACTGAATATCCACTCAAACACCTAGGGCAGAAAGTATTCTCCTCATCCCCACTTTTAGACACGCCATCCATCTATACAAATCTCAGTTTCCATGGCCTTCATGCCATCCATCTATACAAATCTCTACTCTCCATCTTTCTCTCTCACAAAGAAGTTAAGCCACATATCTCAGTTTCCATGGCCTTCATGGCTTGTTCCTAATCTCCACATCACCTCTCTCAAGATCCTGGAGATCTCTCAAAGCCCATCCTGGAGACATCAAAATCCACTTTGTTATCAAAAAAAATGCCTTCATGCTTTCTCTTGTTGAACCTCTTGCATTTCGGAGGTATGATCTCTCAACATCTCCGGAAGTTACATTCGACTTCTGAACTTTTGTTAAGACTCTCCATTGCCTTGATGTCTACAAGTAGCTTGAGAAAAATCACTGTTGCAAAATTGATACCACTGGCTTGGGTGCCAATCACTGGCTGAGAAAACATATGTGTACAAACAAGCCTCATTTGATAATTAGCCTGTAAGTTCTTTTTAGTCATGATAGTGTTTTTGTGCAGCATCTATCACAATACTGAGCTACTGCTAGAGCTTTTAATAGTTCATAATACTGTAGTGCCTAAAGACTTAAGCTTCGCTCAATATTTAGTGACTAAGTATTTAGTGACAAAACCAGTAGCTATTATTGGCATCCTTTGATGTCTAATACTAAATTTAAAGAGAAGAAATTTGGTGTTTGTACAAAAGCTTCACACTTTTGAAAGTTATGGAACTGCTGATGACTGCATAAGTCACAGCCTGTTTGTCTTTTTCTTTGATTAATTGTAGAAATTTGAAACACAAGAAAGAAATTTCTCTATTTAATCAGGCAACTGTTTACAGTACTTAAGTTGTAATCTTATGATTGGCTTTTAAACAGACCATTCTCTCATATCAGGGCCAACCATCCAAGAACCCCGAATGGGCTCCTGAGACAGAGAATTTTAAGAAACGCTTATTAGACTTCTTGAGACATAGAAGTTCATTCACTTACGGGTACTGTAAATGAACTTATTTGAGAAAGATTTCAAGCTTTTCAGTAATTAAAGGAATTAGTAATAAATCCCAACACACTCAGAATAAATAAAACATTTTATATTCCTTTCAACACAGATTCTATGAAATTTTCAGTTAGATCTGCATTTCTCTCAGATAGATCTAATAATTTACTTCAGCTGAAAAGCCTCCAAATCACTTTACAAACGCAGCATGACCAAGAACTAACCACCCTGGAACCACTGGATCAAGCCCCTGCTCTGATACCACACAATATTTAAAAGCCACATGCAACATCCAGGTTTTGGAAGACTTGGGCTTCTCAAGTCACAAGGAACTTGGCCTGCACCAACAAACCACCGGGAGCTCAGTGCCTCGGAGAAGGTCAAACTGCCAGGTAGACCTTTACAGCACACAAACTGACATTGAAAAAGTAACTTTTTAAAAAGTAAATCCAGGCATGCATATAATTACTAACAAAATTACTTCATTTGTTACAAGGAAGGCTCAATACTTGCTGATGCACAAGCAGGGTGTTCCCATACTCCTCAGTTGACCTTGCATCTTCAACCGAAGCCTTAGACCACCATCAAAAAAATAAGGCCAACACTGATAAATCCAACAGCTTATTAATTTAGTGCTATGGATTTCAAAACATAGAAAAATAAATTAACATCATAAAACCTGATAAGCTCCAGATTTAAAAAAAAAAAAAAAGTCACTTGATAATTATAAAAGAGACAATTATGCTTTTCAAGGCAAAACTGCTGGGGGTGGGGATGGCTATTCATAAATAATGTTCTGGGTTAGAGGCTATTTATTGACTTTAGGACCACAGTAAAGCCATTAATAAAACAAGATCACAAAAAGAGCTTAAAATACTTTATGTTCTGAAGAGCCTGAGGGAAACAAACAGCCCATATGTTTAAAAATATTTTTAAATAATATGCATGAGATTTTATACTCATGAAAGACATCAGCCTGGAAGCTGAGGACACCAATATATGACCGGAACAGGTGCAGACTTCTGACCCACTGCCTCCTTCCCCACAAACAGGGCTCGATTCTGGCCTGAAAAAAGCTAACACTAGCCACAGAAAGCTAAGAGTCACTCCCGTGACCTTGCAGTCCCTTGTCCTCCTATTAAGATCGGCACCATCAGCTGTGGTGATGATCTCAGGAGCACGTATGCACTCTTCCTTTGAGAATATGACTGAGACCCAGCAAAATCCTTCTACAGACAAGGAACAACATAGCCAAAACAGTGGGGGGAAAAAAAAAAAATATAATAATAAATCCACTTTTCTAAAGTATGTTTATGGGACATGGATATGTTCAAAATGATTTCCACCTCTTACACAAAACTACCAGCTGGAAAATTTACAGGAGCTCAAAAATACTTTCTAATATTTTTTCCTGGGAAAAATTGGAGGCAGAGGTGGGAAATCTGCCTCTCGAAGCAGATTTTAAATTATCTTTTCTGACTGGAACTCTATGTACTTCTTGGAAACATGGGAAGGGGAGATTCTAAGCACTATCCGTATGCAGGACGGAATTTACTCATCTTTCTTGACTGTGGTTTCAGCACTGCTATATTGCTTTATGTCATGGAAGTTCACAAGAAAAATATTTGATCTAAATCTCAGGGCAGTTTTTAAAGTCTTTAAAGTACCAACCTGGATACTGCATCAAGCTAAGTTCTCATATCATTGCCTTTGATCCTGAACAAAATATATAAACATAACAAAATAATATAAAAGTTATAGCCACCTCCTGAAGATCTGGCTCAAACTGCCACAGCTCCACTGATTCCAATGAAGTGAGGACATTTTATATCAGCTGGGGACTTGGCCTGACAAAGGTGAAGCACTCAGCAGCATGCCAAATTGAGTGCGTGTGCATTTAAGCTCATTTTACTTACTACTAAAGCTTTCATGCTTTGAAATACACCTTTGAAAAACAGTGCAGAGCTGTAATTCTTGCAGAAATGCAGATAATTAATTTCTCATCTGGCCGAGAAAGCAATATGAACCTAAGACCCAAACCTATATTAAGCTTTGAAGAAGTTACTGCTAAATTTCAGCAGACCTTCATTAGTCAAAATACCATGACTATTTATTTGGGAGACCTGAGATAGGTTCCTAACATCAGAAACAAGCCATAGCCCAGTTTGACATAACTGTTAAATGTTCCACTTCTCAGGCCATATGCTAAGATCCTTATTTCTGCACTCAGTATCATCTGACCCATGGCCACAACTGGTCAAATCTTTTTTACACGTCAAGAAAAGAGGAAGAGTCAACACAAGGAGAGAGTTATTTCAAATAACCCAGGCAGACAACTTCAGTGTTTTGGTTTTTTTGAATACCGAGAGCAGTCAGTGCTAAAAGTTAATATCGTAACATTTCGTGGGGAATTCAGCTCCCCGGAGCAGGCTCCAAAGTCCATGAGCAGCCTTCCAAAATGCCACCGCGACAGCTTTACTTACGCCTAGCCATCTTGCTCCTTTGTTGGCAGCCTGATGAATCTGCACTCTTTTCAGGGTGACATGGTAAACAGCTCCCTCTTCTGCCTCTTCACCCCAGTCCTGAATTGTGCTCTGACAGGCGCAAAAGAAACAAAAAAAAAAAAAAAAAAAAAAAAAAAAAAAAAGAGAGAGAAAAGAACATTTTCACTCTTCTGCTAACCACAAGCTATACCAGGTGCTCTACTGCTTCATACAGAGCTGAGGGTAGAAGATGAGCTGCACAAAGTAAATACAACAATCAAAGCAATACGGGATACTTTTAGATTGAGGGAACACTGGAGATATTCTTGGCAAGCTGTCCTTTCCTGTGGTATCAAGATACCCTGACTTTCCATTTAAGTATTTTTCCTAGACTAGCACATATTTTAAATACTTGTATGAAGTCTTTTCTAAGGAAATAGTTTGGTTTTGATTAGCAGTCTTCTCTTCCCTCTCCCTCCCCCTTTTCTACAGCAATTAATCTCTTTGGCCCTTCATTTATGGAAGGAATTGCACTTTTTAAAACTGTTGAATTACTTAGGCAGACAGCCTTTAAACTCTGAAGCTAACAAGCATTTAAAACACAGCAATCCCTTATTTCTTTTGACAGGCGGGATCTAAAGCGCTTGTGGTTTGCCTTTCCAAAACCTATTATTTCAAGCTATGAAAAAAAACTTTATGGAGTCGAGGCTTTAAAACTCACAAATAAAAGAAAGTGGATTAAAAAAAAAAAAAAAAAGAGTGCAACGTCTTCCAAACTTGAACCGAACCTGCGCTGCGACGACTCCTCATTTCCCAGATTATTCCCGGTACAGCAGAGCGCAAGCAGCGCGGGCAGCAGCCGCGCACCCCCCGTTCCTCCGGGGGGTGACTAACTCGCCTCTCCGGAGCCCCCCGCTGCCCCCCGCCGTGCCCGGCACCCCGGCGCAGGGGAGCCCTGCAGACGAGCATCCCTGGGAGCGAGGGAGAGCGGGGAGGCGCGCAGCGTTTCCAGCGCGGCTGCGGGGAGCCCGGCCACCCCCGCGGGCAGGGGAAGGGTCGGAGGGGATTGGGGGGGGACGACACGACGGACGGGACACCCGCTTTACCGTTTCACTTTCCACAGCCATTTCATTCTCGACGCCTTCCCGGGCGCCTCGACGGGGCACGCCGCCGCTGCCCGCCGCCGCTCCGCCCTGTCAGCGGCCGCCGCGGGCCGGGCCGGGCCGGGCGGCCCCTCGGCTCCGCGGCGCGGGAGGGCGGGCGGCCGCGCCAGGCCCCGCCTCGGCCCGGCCCCGGCCCCGGCCCCGGCCCCGGCCCCGCTGAGGGGCTCCCTGTTTACCGCCCGCAGCCCCCGGCTGGAAAGTTCCGGCGGATTCAGTCCCCCCTGCGCGGAGTCTCCGCGGGGCGGGGCGGGGGGGGGTGGGGGGTGTTCATCCGGCCCCGGCGCCGCTGGGGAGAGAGGGACGAGGTGCGGAGCGCCCGTGCCCGGTTCCCAGCGGGGATGGGGCGCGGAGGCAGCGCCGCCTTCCCGCAGCCGCGCACCGGCGGCCGGGGCAGGTGCGGAGCGCGGGGGGCTGCGGGGCGGGGACGTCCCGACCCCGCTCCCGGCGGGCTTTGAACGGCTCTTGTAGGGAAAAAAACAAACAAAAAAAACCAAACAAACAAACAAAAAAAAAAAACAAAACACACACACACACACACACATGCAACCGCCCCACCTGAAAAAAAAAAAAAAAAAAAAAAAAAAAAAAAAACACAACCAAACCACCAAAAAATCAAAAGGCAGCAACTGTAAGCCAAGCTTAATTTAAAAAAACTTATTTCTACAAGTTTAAAGTAAGGAAATTAAACGTTACCGCCAACGCTGCCGCTAGCGGCGCTGCTCTCGGCTGTCTCAGCCTGGCTCTGCAGAGGCGTGCGGAGCCTGCCCAGCACCCGCCACCGGGCAATTCAGGCGGCTCAGACAAGGCCTTCCTCCTCCTCCTCCTCCTCCTCCTCCTCCTCCTCCTCCTCCTCCTCCTCCTGCCCACCCCAGCCAGGCTGTGCCGGGGCAGCCAGCCCCGTGTGCCAGGCAGCGGAAAGCCTCCCCCCGAGAGGGAGCTGGAAAGCGAGGGGACAGGGGGGGGCAGGTGCGCAGCAGCAGATGAAAAGCCGGCGAGAAACAGCGGAGCCCTGAGGAGCCCAGAGCAGAGATGGGGAGGGGAACGGGGCTGAGCTCCTGCTTTGGGGAGGGAAGGGGATGGGAAACTGGAGGGAGGGGGAAACCTGTTTTCACCTCTCACCTCAAGAGAATGGCTGCTTCCTATCCAAGAAGAAAAGTTTCTTGTACTGATCTGCAATCAATAGATTATACTCCATCATATTTCCCGCCTACCTCTTTAACATCGACTAAACCCACAATATCTTTATTTTTCTTCTGTGGGAGTCCTTTGCTCACAGACAAGCCTGTCTGAACCACAACCATCTTCTCTGTACAAGCGCTAGCTGCAGACATGGCCATGCCAACACGAGGATCTCAAGCCACCTTAAAAACACTAACTTAAATTGCCTATTGAGCTGTCTTAGTTACCTGGCTTTTCGGGCTTATAAATGAAAGCAGAAAGGAGTTGAATGCACAAATGACTGTGTAAGTCAATGAAAGCTGCTAAGACTTGAACCAGAGCATTCAGATCTCCTGAACCTCAGCATCAACAGCCACTATATTAACATATTTATACACAAGTGTTACCACCAATTATCTCAGGAGCAGTCCTGGTTCAGAGAGACTATTATCGCTTGCAGCTGTTAACATGAGGAAGCATATGAAAGCAAGGAACATTATTTTAAGCTACGAAACCAAGATTGAATTGTGTTGTCACGGGTGAACTGATCTGATTGTTTGCCAGGCTGTGCATTTAGTTTATTTGTGCAATACTGAAGTTATCCAGAATATGCTGAGGCAGATACAGACTTTAATAATCTGTATTAATAATAACGTATTGCAGCATACCAATCAAAGTCTAGATTTTCCAAAGTCCCTTGGCTTCTCCTATAAAACCACACAGAGCATTCTGAATGCAAACTGGTTTTCCCCACAATAACTTCTAGGTGCAAAAACCAGAATCTGCATTGAATTCATGTAGCTAGCCCAGCAGGTGTGCAAGCAGTTTCAGAACAAATTGCTGTTGAACAGGACAAACATATGTTAGCATATGAAAATGGATATCCAGCTACAAGGAATATAACACCAAAGCCAAATAATTATTCTCTATCAAAATAAAAGCTTTATCGTGGTATGATGTTCTGGTGCCACAGTAAGTACACTAGTGCCACTACCATTACTCTGGATGGCAGTCACCAAAAAACGGCAGTTATTCCTAGCTATTTCTTTAACAAGAAGAAAATGGCACTGAATTAATACAGTGGGGCATAATCAGACATATACTTCTGTAGTATATCAAACTTCATCCTACTTTTGTGACAGTATTTTGAATTTGCACATTGTCTCTCATCCTAACAGCCTGCAAGGACTGCACAAACAAGATACCATATAAACTGCACCCCAGCATGTGGTCACGCCTGGGCTGCGGAACAAGAACCTGCAACACGCACGATGGCATGCGTGGCGGGGAGGGGAGACAGAAATTTTAGCCGAGGTGATGAGGTCTATATGGCAACAGGTGTGTATTTTACAAGAACAAGAGCCACCTACACTCTTCCAGATTTTAAGCTGAAGTCTCATACAGTCTAAATCACACACCAATGCTAATCTTTACCCCTAGATCTCAGCTCCGCCAACATCCACCGGAGATGGCAAATTTTTACCATCTGGCTTTTTCCAGCATCATCCACCCTCTGCTGTCACGGGGGCTAAATGCACTTTTGAAGGCAGGTATACTCAAGAGGCAGCTATTTCCCAGCTCAACAGATTTCTGAGTGAGTCTTGAAGATGATACATTTACAATAGGATATGTGGTTCTGCAGTGTCCTCAGTCAGCTGATCTGGAAAGGAAGTATCAGCTGAAAGAAAATTTCATTGTCTATGCTAAGCGTTATTGCTCTTTAAGGATGAGGCAAAAAAATCCCAACCCAATATTAAAATAGTCCATCTTTTGTAGAAATCTTCAGTATTTACTTGATCGAACTCTTAATCTAGTTATTTGTTTACTGATCCCTTAAATTAGTTTACATGATTAAGTTTCTAGAAACTGTTTCCATTAACTAGCTGCAAGAAGAAAACTGCAAGATGGCCAGGGCAATTCACAGTGCAACTTAGTCTGACAAATTAATTTCATCTTTCTTTAGCCCTTACCTAGTATGCCAGCTCAGAAAAGCATGTAAGCAGTAGCGCTACTTCAGCATGAGCTTAAAACGCTCACATCAAAGAAACTAAACTCTTAAGATTCTTTAATGAACTGGAGCCTAAATCCTGAACTCAAAATGAATTGCAGGTTCAACCCTCCATGGGACTGAATCTTCTCCCCACAAGCATTACATCAAACATTGCATTGCAAAAAGCCCAGCAATCACATTTACAACAGATTTTCAGTGAAAAACTGTTTACCCAAATCCTCTGCCAATTCTAGGATTTGCAGTTTTCTAGTTCCTTGGAAGTCTGGATTCTATTGATAACTGTCTCACTTGGGAAAGGGATATTTGTAGGTTGGGGTGGTTTCTTCATTGAAGCAGCTGACAGGGGATGGGATAGCATTTTCCAACATAGTGTGCCTTTCTTATGCCACAGTATTTACTTGCTTTCCAGCTAAACAAAGCGATCAATTTAAATATGCTACCTCTTCCAACAAACCTCATCTGTATTTCCATCATCAGATCTCATAGCTACAACAACGTTGTTACACAGAATACAAGAAATTTCCCTCGGAAAGGTAGAATCTTTCAAAGTGAATGCAACAGTCTGTACTGCCTAAAAATTTAACAGGACCCATTTTATCTCCAACTCCTGTCATTAACTTTTACCAAAACATGCATGTCTGTGTATGTATACATAACATACATGTGTTTATTTGATCTTTTAGAGAGAAAGGATTATGCTCAGTCTAGGCTCCTAAAAATCTGCCTTATATTCAAATAATGATTATTTAATATTGGAAAGGAGGAAAAACATATGTAAC